ACCTGGGAATCTCCAAGCCCAGCACAAGTAGAAGCCATCTTAGACTGCATTATAGCTCAGATAGGATGGCTCCGGACAAAACACAGGTCGGGGCCGACCTTGCCTGCACCACCTGGGAAACCTCAGGGCCAGCGACAGACCATTTTGGAGTACCACCACCCTGCCCCAACACAGATGATTCTCCACAGAAGGTGGAGGCTGGTGGTAAGTGGTCGCAGCTAATCCTTGCAGCTGACTGGCCTGGGTAATCCCTCCCATTGATCTGCCAACAACAACCAAGGCTCAACTACAAGAGGAGGGTGTACTCAGCCCACATAAAGGCACACCTGGTACACCCAGCTTGGGTGATAGGGGAGGCTGTGCCACTGGACCCTGCAGGACACCTACTACATTAGGTCACACTACCAAGACACAGAGTCAAAGCAGCTCTACCTAATAAATAGAAACAAAGAGAAGAGGCTGCCAAAACAAGGAGACAAGAAACATGGCCCAAACGAAAGAATAGATCGAAACCACAGAAAGAAAACTAAACAAAATGCAGAGAAGCAATCTATCAGATACAGAGTTCAAAACACTGATTATAAGGATGCTCAAGGAACTTAGTGAGGAACTCAACAGCATAAAAAAGATCCAGTCAGAAATAAAGGATACACTAATTGAAATAAAGAACAATTTACAGGAAAATAGTAGAGTAGATGAAGCCGAGAATCAAATCAATATTATGGAACAAAAGGAAGCAAAAAACAAGCAATCAGAGCAACACAAAGAAAAAAGAATCCAAAAAAAAAATGAGGATAGTATAAGCAACCTGTGGGACAACTTTAAGAGGTCCAACATTCACATCATATGGGTACCAGAAGGAAGAGAGAAAGAGCAAGAAATTGGAAGTTTATTTGAAAAAATAATGAAAGAAAATTTCCCTGTTTGGTGAAGGAAATAGACAGACATGCAAGTCCAGAAAACAGAGAGTCTCAAATAAGACAGATGCAAAAGTCCCGCTCTAAGACACATCATAATTAAAATTCTAAAGGTTAAACATAAAGAGAGAATCTTAAAAGCAGCAAGAGAAAAGATGTTACCTACCTACACGGGAGGTTCTGGTACTTCCCATAAGACTGTCAGCTGATTTCTCAAAAGAAACCTTGCAGGCTAGAAGGGATTGGCAAGAAATGTTCAAAGTCATGAAAAGCAGGGACCTACAGCCAGGATTGCTCTACCCAGCAAAGATATCATTTAGAATCGAAGGGCATATAAAGAGCTTCTGAGACAAGAAAAAACAAAAGGAGTTCATCATCACTAAACCATTATTATATGAAATGTTAAAGGAACTTACTTAAGATAAAGAAGATCGAAACTATGAACAATAAAATGGCAAAAAATACAAGTCTATCAACAATTGAATCTAAAAAACAAACTAAGCAAAGAAGAACAGACACAGAATCAGGGATATGAAGAGTGTTTTGACGGTTGCCAGATGGCTGGGGGTTGGGGGGGTTGTGGGGGAATGGGTGAAGAGGTGAGGGGCTTAAGTACAAATAGGTAGGTACAGAATAGCCAAGGGGATATAAAATACAGTATAGGAAATGGAGTAGCCAAAGAACTTATACACATGGCCCATGGGCATGAACAATGATGAGGGACTGCCTGAGGGAGTTGGGGTTGCTGAGTGGAGCGGGGAGCAAAGGGGTAAAAATCAGGACAACTGTAATAGCATAATCAATAGAATATAATTTTAAAAAGAATTCATTCAAGTTTTTATTGGACAAACATAAAATATATTTCAGTGAACAAGTATGACTCACCAATATATCTTCTTTCCCATTCAACATATTTGTGATTCTATAATAGACATATCCTAGATTATATATTAATGGAATTTACAGTAGGCTCGTTTGACTTAAGAATAAAGGCTAAAGTCTCTCTCATGTAGGGACCTGACCTTTAGTGAGTTACTTCAGAGACGGGGGCTTAGGAAGAGATGCCCATTCCTAGGAGTGTTAATAATGTCACCTCTGCAACTTTCTCCTGCTTTGGAATCTGCCTGGAAGCTCACCTACTGCAAAAACGTTTCCTGTTTTAAAAACACACACATGATGAGCCCTACTTCATTAACTAAAATTGTTATTCCAACCTCTGTATTAAAGTGAAGTGCATGGAAAAACTCTAATATTTTTTATCACTTAGAGAGAAACACACCCATTTTATTTTGTGATGTTTGCAGTATATTTCACGTCTTCCCCCCTTGGGCTTATTGGGAACCTAATAAAGTTTGATAGATCTAAGTCCACTCCAAAGAAAGTATATTCCCCCTCCACATCACGCATCCGCCATACATCTTAACTCATGGAAGGATGAAGTGGTCCCAATGTTTATACTGTTAAAAACAACACCCAAGCTGGCATTCTGTTAACACAACTCTTTACTAATCCATACGATAGTTGTCCTTTTTATCCTTTCCCCTCATTCCATCTCTTGAAGGAAATAAGTGGCTCCCCCCCAAAAACAAATCCTAACTATTTTTCAGGGCGTCCTGACATCTGCTCCCATAGCCCCGTCCCTCTACTTCCGTAACATTCGGCACGGTAAGCACTTGCAACTACTGATGTACAGCCTGTCTTTCCCATCATAGTGTGAGCTCCATGGGGCTGGGGCTGTTCTTCTGTCATTGCCTGTACCCTCGCGGCCAGGCATGTATGACTGCCAAATAAATTATGCTGAAGAGGAAAAAAACAAAAGCTAACCATTTTTTTAAAATCCCATCATGTGTTAAAAGTCAGGATAATGGTTACCTTCGGGGAAGAGAGGTGGGCAGTGTTGGGGAGGGGCATGAAGGGGACTTCCGGGTTGCTATCGTGTTCTACTTCCTCGGCTGGTTGCCTGGGCACGTTCACCAGGGGATCACTTACTGAACCACAGACTTGAGACTGGTGCACTTTCTGAAGGGGCTTCACTCCAACAAAAAAGTCTGTCTATCATAATTCTCTGACAAAGAAAAAAGGAAATTGCAAGCACTCAGAGACTGCCATTATAATTAATAAACATAGTTTAAGAGTAATTAATCAACATTAGTTTCTAAACATGCAAAGTTAAACTTCAGAGTGGGGATCAAAATGTTCATGTGTTAGAAAGTACTCTCAGCAGCCATGGAAACTAACCAGGTGTCTGTACTCTGTACCAGTCACAATGGGAGAGATTCCTTAGTTGAGGTAATGGATATAACATACTATGTTAATATACATTTACATGCTATGTATTAAGTGTGATGTACACACTGCTACATGTTAGCTCTTACTACATTTTTTAACACACCAGAAGCAGTTCCAAATGAAGACTTAAGCTTAGAGCGCAAGCAGACTTTCTTCATTAGAATCCAAGGTCTGTTTTGTCTCTTAACTTTTTCAGAATAGCTTTAAAAGCCTGGTTGAAGCAATACATTTGTTTATAAAACTTACAGTTATGGAGCCCACATCACCACCTGGCTTGTTTTAGTCACGCCGAGACAAGTCAAAACCCCCAGCCAGGCTAAGGATCATGGAGCAGCTGCACTGAGACAGCAAAGAGACCCTCTGGTCCAGGGTTCCCCAGCATGCACATCGCTGGGGTATTTGTTAGAAGTACAAGTCCCTGGTATCCCACACCAGATGCTGACTCACTCAGTCTGAGAGTAGGGCCCAGAGATTTGCATTCTTAAACAAGTTCTTCCAAGTGATTCTGGAGAAGATAGTCTACAGAGAAGAGCCTCTTGTTTTACACATGAATGAAATAGAGGCCAGGGAGGGAAGGGGCCTGCCAGACCTTCCTTGTTACTGAGTACGCCAGGACTGGACCGAAGGTCACCTTTACCACTAGTGTTTCCCCATGATTCCATGCTACAAGAGCTTAGGGACCCAGCATGAATCTGTTTTAAACCTCAGTGGCTTACTCCATGAGGCCTTTGCCTTTTTACCCACGCATTTGGTTCAACAGGAAGGCACAAAAACCCGTCCGTGTATTCGTTAGCTATGCGGAGCCAGGTACCTTAGAAACCTAGTTTAAATCATAGCTCCAATATTTACAAGCCCTGTGAACCTGGGATAGTTATTTGAATTTTGTGTCCTTTGGTTTCTTCCTTTATAAAGTGGCAAAGCAATACTATGTTTGCAGGATGTTGTGAGGATAATGTAAAATAATACCAGCAAAAAGCTTGGCAAACAATGAGTTTCCAGTAAATAGTAGCTATGGTTAATGTCAACTTAAAACATGGCACTAAAAGAAAACATTCTTCATTCGATTAGAGGACTGTTCTCAAAGTTATGATCCCCTACAACAGAACCATGTGGAAGTGCTTGTTTAAAACACAGATTTCTGGAACAAGACCTAGTGAATCAAAATCATTGGAGCAAAACCCAGAAGTCTGCATTAACAAGCAAGCACCCAGATTATTTTTTTGCATATAAAAGTTTGAGAAACAATGAGCTAGGACTGTGGACAGAGTAGCTTCCAATCAATGAAAACTAGTGTAATCAGTGAGAACCGGGTAGTACTGAACACTCTCAATACTAACAATTTTCTGCCAAAAAGAGGTAAGTGGGCACCACCTGCTGCCTTGTTTTAGAATGCAATGCTGAGATGCGTTCAAGTCCTCTCCATAATTGAATTCACTCTGAAAAATGATTCAATCCTAAACAAGATATCCACATGTTAGAAAATATTGTTAGGAGACATGAAGACAGTCTTTATTAATAACTGGAAGGAAACTTTCTGAGTTAAAGGGTTTTTGGAGTTTTAGATTACATATATGTAATACACTCCTGTAATTTCAGGTTATTGCTAAAACAGTAAAGGGAAATACAACCCCTCAGCCACTGGCCTATACCAACAGTGAAAGGAAACACAGAGCCACAGGACGCCCTAAAAGACTGCGATGAAAAACATGTGGCTATGCTCACCTCCCACAAGGCCTCCCCTGTTCCCAAGGGAAAACCAAGGGAAAGCCCCAGCTTTCTTATCCTATAATCTACTCACGTCCAGTATCGAAACTTCCATCTGCAGGACGCTAGTGGAAAAGTTAACATTTCCTTCAAAAGGTACTCAAAAAAGCCTAGTGAATTATAGTGTCTTACTATATTTAAAGCCGATTTGCCCTTCCAAATTGGAAATGCACAAAACATTCCCAGAGGCTCAGAGCGATGGGCAACCTTATAGAAAAACTATCAGTTGTACTTCGTATTTCAATAATTCAATGACAAGTCATAAAAACATTCATCTTTAATTATTGTTTGTTTTTAGGAAATAAATGGCAAACTATGTACACTGTGGAGTCTGAGATCCCCCATCACAGAGTGTGGATGATGGTCCGGTTTCGAAGCTCCTGGATGTATTCTTTGGCGTGGGTGGCTGCTGTCTTTGGTGCCTCGCAGGGAGGTGGACGGCCTTCCACCAACTTCACAAAATAATGGCAGTAAACCTTCTCCATGATCCCAAAGCGACCTCTGCCGTGGTATCGAATGCGTTTCAGGTACTGGCCTCGCCCTGAGGTGGATTCAGCTAGACAGGGAAGAAAAAGAGAATTGTAGGAAACTACTGTACTCACAAGACTGGCTCGATCAGTTCAGCGCACTGTGCTCTCCCTGACTGGTTCTAAGACCACACGAGCCTCCTGGCTGGCTGGAGCAGGCCTCTCTCAAAACAAGTGTCTCCTGAGCGCTTACTGCAGACCAGGCTCTATTCTAGATGCTGGAGAAACAAGAGTGAACAAGACTAGCACGGACCTGACTCCACGCCATACACATTGCAGAGTACACAGAAGAGAAACATGATCATTTCAGTCAGTGACAGGGACAATGACTAAAATAAAAGTGTGACGCAGACTGATGGGGTGTAGGGAGACAATTTCAGAATGGGGGAGTGACAAGGGGCATCATCAAGGAGGACACATTGGAGCTAAGACCAGATTGAATCATCCATGAAAAGATCTAGGGGCAAGCTGTCTGGGCAGAGAAAACAAGAACAGCAAGCACCAAAGCCCAGTGGTAGGAATGTGCTTGGCTTGTCTTAGGAACAGAAAGAAGGCCAGCCTGTTGAGGCACAGTGGGCAAGGCAAAGAATGGTACAAACGAGGGAAAGAGATGAGAAATGAAGGCAAGGTTACATGGAGCCCTGTAGAACGAAGTAAGGAGTTTCAATTTTATTCTAATTGTGATGAGAAGCCCCTGGAACCAATGGTCCACCAATGCCGGTCCCTGAGCCAGCTACATCAGACTAACCGAGGGAACACATCTGAGATGCGGATGCTGATACCCCATCCCTGGAAGTTCTGATTTAGCACATTTGAGAAATTACATCCTGAGTGAACACCAACACCCCCGCCCCCGCCCCCTTCTGATTCCCAGCCAGTTTTAGGGACTCCAGCATCTCACCTCCCACTCCCCATTCTGCATGTCAGAGTGTGACCCAGTAAAACTCGAAGAAATCTTTTAAATAGTACAGAAGAAGGACTCTGTCCACTACAGTAACTCTGAGTAGCCATCACCTTTTGCTATTTTCTAAATTTATTGATATTCACTTCTTTAGTTAATTTAATAAGCCTTTTAAAAGGCAAAATCTATAGATTTTGATATAGACTACATATCAAATTACTGCCCTTCAATACCCTCCATTTGTGTATTCTTACTGTGACATCACTTTATAAGTACGAGGACTACATCCAAGTACACACGAGACAGCCCTCTACGTCCCTCCTCCCGTAAAATGTGTCTCAGCGGGAACAGCCTCGCTTTGCCCAGGAGAACGCTGAGGATAACAGGACTGAGAAAACTGCCTGGGGCCTCTGGGCGATAAGGAAAGCCACATCTGCAGGGCACTAAAGAAAGGAGTTTAAGAATTTCCAAGGTGGTCAACAGGTGCAAGCTCCTAGTTATGGAAAAGATAAGTCGTGGGGATGTAAGGCACAGCACGGCCAAGTTAATAATACTGTATTATGTATTTCAAAGCTACCAAGTGAGCAGATCTGCAAAGTTCTCACCATATGCAAATAAGAATTGTATCTAGGTACAGGGTCGGATGTTAACTAGACTTACTGTGGTGATCATTTCAACATATATACAAATACTGAATTATGTTGTACAACTGAAACTAATATAATGTTGTATGCCAATTATACCTCAATAAAAATGTTTTTAGAAGAATTTCCAAAGAGAAAGCAGCATTACACAAATCACTTTACAATGAAGTGTCAGAGGTTCCCGGGACCCACCTGTCAGGCGGAAACCTACAAATGAGTCAGTGAGGCTGGAAAGAGTGTGGAAAATGTTTACAAAGCATTTCACAAAACTGATGGCTGCCTCTATCCAAAATTGCTACTCTACTCGATTTGATCACCGATTTCCAAATGCTTCAAGATAAGGAACACTACTCTGGTGAAAGAAGTTTCAAAGCCAGCCAACGTGCAGCGCTGCATGGCATTTCAAACCCAACGATCACCACCGTCAGGCCTAAGGTAACTACTGTTTTCCTTCCATCCTCCCCTCAACACCTGCCTAAGAGGAGGTGCTCATTACCTGCTAAATGCCAGTCATGATTTCATCCTCGGGCCGTAAAATATCATCTGCCTATCTTTATGGCACATAGTGCCATCATTTTTTTTTTTAATGTCAAAACGAAACATAAATTCTTCTGAAACACTGGGATGCTGTACCACACTCTAATGTGAATACACAACGCAGTCTCTCTGTGGTCTGAATGAAATCAGGACCTAGAATATAGATTCCAAATTGGCTGCCAAACTCCCCTCCTCAAGTCCCTCCTCCACTACTTCTGCATGTTAGGGGTTTCAAAGTGCATTTGTATGGAACAACTTCAGTTAAAATGAAACAAGATATAGAAGCCCACTGTCAGGTGGGCCTGTTGCAACTGAAACATGGGTGGGGAGAGGTCCAAAACCGTGCCATTCATTTACCTGGCAAATATTTCTGAGCTCCTACTGGGGGCCAGGCTCTATCCTGGGCTCCAAGGACTCTGTAGTGACCCAGATATCAAGGAGCCCTTCTGTGTGAACCGGGCCCCGCCCCTGAAGGCTGTACGGCACAACCTCAAAACCACTGCTTACAGTTAATAGTCTTAGAACATTGCCTAACATAAAGCTCTTAAACAAAAACACCTGTGGTTCTCACTGAACACAGTTTTAACCAAATGCCAAGCCTGCCCCGCTCACCCCTCTGGCACCTAGGCCCAGTCCACCCTTTCAATTCCATCTGCTCTGGGCCAGCCCTCTACTTCCTTCACACTGTTCTGCTCATCAAACCACCCAACTACTGCTCACTCCAACCCACAGGCCTTGGCTCGTGTGGTTGCCTCATCTTGACAGTCATCTTTTCTCCTGCACACTCTTTCAGGTCCCCCAAAGCCTCTCTTCCAAAAGTCAAATTTTTCTAGTCCATACTGACCACCTCTTCTCTACTCCAATCCCATTTATCTATATTACTCCTTTTGGTCCCAAACCATATGGCTGCCATATGTAAGTGTTCATGTTTCCCCCTCTTCCACCAAACTTTTACTCCTTTTGTATTGCCCCAGAAGTCCGGACTCCACAAAGGACAGAGATGATTTTAAAATACACCCTCTGCTCATAAATATCATATTTTCAATACAGACATCGCTGGTTAAGTTTGCTCAAATTCTAAAATAAGTTTCAAAGTTTTCCAGGAAAATATAATACTAAGAATGTACATAGCTTTATTCCAACTCAGAAGAATAATTCACATATCCCTCCAAAAGGTTACTACAGCCAAAGAACAAAACAACGTGTGCTAAATGTTTGAAATAAAAGACATACCATCACCTAACTGGGCACATATGGAAGGTACTCAAAAACTTTTTCAATGAAAGAAACATTAAGACATCTCAAAAATGAGAACCACCTTCTAAAGGTAGTGCCCAATAGGAACTGTGTATTTAAAATAATGTCAGTATTTCCTATTACTAGTATTTAGTTACATGAGAACCTCGACGTTTTAATGTTAGTAACCCTCACATCCCCACCTCATCACTCTTAGCCCAGAGGACTAATTTACAAAGTCAGTCGATCACTTTCTCTAGTGAGTCACTTTAGATGCCATGAATCACTAAGCAGTGACATTTTATTAGTCCATGTCCACTTGTTAAGGCTATTCACAGTGTCATTAGTCATCATTAGAAGTGTGAAAGGGGAATGAACTTTCAAAGTCTGTGGTCATGCAACACCAGGTATTAGCTTTAGACTGATGACAGGCATCTGAAGGAACTGCTGTGTAATGAGAACATATGCTACCAAATAGCAATTCCTTTAAAATACCTGTGCTTACTTATTTCAGGTGACGGAAACAGCCAATGCTGAAAAGCAGCAGTAGCCAACAAGCAGCCAGTCTTTTAAAATCTTAAAAGAAGTTTATGCAATAAAATGTCTAGGCCTTTTCCAAGAACACAACAAATCAGTTACCTACATTTTATAGGTAACAATCACTAGGGTACTTTTCAGGCCTCTCCCTAAGGTTTCAGATTCAGTCAGTCTGGGGGGAGGCCCTGGAATTTGTATTTTTTGTAAGAACCTCAAATGATTCTTAGTGGGGAAGCTTGGCAAATACAAGGATAAAATGTCTGATATGTCATAGTAAAATACTTGATCTTCCTGAGCGTATTCTTCTTTTTTTCATTCATAATGAAATTAGGTAATAAAATACTTAGTAATGAAATTAGGTAATAAAATACTTAGCAAATGAGTTTTTTCAAATCATAAGACAAATCCAAACTACCTGCTCTACTTAATAAAAAAGATTTTTGCCCTGGTTGGTGTGGCTCAGTGGATTGCGCATCAGCCTACAAATGGAAAAGGTTGCTGATTGGACTTCCAGTCAGGGCACGTGCCTGGGTTGCAGGCCAGGCCCCCAGCTGGGGGCATGCAAGAGGCAACCAGTTGGTGTTTCTTTCCCTTTCTCCCTCCCTATCCTGCTCTCTAAAAATACATAAGAAAACCTTAAAAAAAGAGAGAGAGAGAGAGATTTTTACACAGAAATGCATGAAAAGAGGGTGCAAGTGGGGAGAGATTTTTCAGCAGAAACGTGCATAAGGAAACCAATGAATTAAACACCTATTCACGTAGGATTGGTTAAGCTTACTTATTGCTTAATGGCAACAATGGACTTTGCTCATTCATTTAGGGGGAAAGGATTAAGCTTCTCACCTTATCTCCCTCTACTACAATTATTAAAATAGACGTAAAGACAAATTCTATTTCATTTGTATCTGAATTCTATTACAAAGTATTGTCTATCAGCTAAGAAGCCCACACATTCCTAAGAAATGGAATAAAATTAATTAAATTTGATTTGTTATTCAGCCACAGTGCAGGAAAGGTCACCAAGAGGTTTTAAGTAAATGGTCTTGCTCTCCATCCACTTTGTCTCTTCCAATAATCCTGGGTTCTCCCAGCACTATTTATTAATGCTGCTCCCAGAGGAAAATGCTCATGGTTAACTACTGTGGCCCTGTATCTTCTGAGTTGCCATGTTGATTTCCTTCTGCATCTATGCATGTATCAGAAAATATGTAGTTATACAAGTTTCAGCTTTAAAATAAGATATTTCAATTGAAAAATCTTAACTCATTTGAATTTCAGAAGTTGCTGTGGTTGCAGCATCAATTCCGGGTGGGCTACGGTAAGATTTCAATTGAACCGGAATAAGTACCTCCACTAGGACAGCGGTTATTTGACATGTAGAATTTAGATTTTTTTTTTTACTCTGATTGTTGAAAAATTATAAGGTACAACTAATTTTGCACATAATGATAACTTTTTTCCTCTATTTGAAGAGTGTAGTTCCCCATATCTTGAATTTAAAATATCTTAGATAAAATAATCCTTCTTTATGTACGGTTGGCAGACGGAAAAAATTTTGCTTCGACATCAACATCTTTGTTTGATTACAAAACTGCTGAGGTTAGGAGTAATTGCTGCTGAAGTGAGAGAAAAACATTAACTTCAACTACTGCTGCACTTTACTGTGAAGCTGAGAGGGGGCAAGAGAGCTTTGTAATAAACACCGATCTCTTTCTGGAAAAAGAGCTGTGTGAAGGTATGCTACAAAAAACCCTGTACATTCTGCACAAATGCTTCCCAAAGCATTTTACTACATGAGTTTAATTCGATGTGGAACAAGCACACAAAACCAGAGATGATGCTTCAGGATGTAATACCAAAGGGAAACAAATGCATCTGGGTCATCTGCATCTTCCAAGGCCCCTTGTTGTTTACAGTTCAACAGGTTTTCCATTTTGGTAACTGGAAGGTTAATTTACAGGACTCCTTTGTAGATTAGTCACCTGGCTTGACATATTATAAATAGGGATTTTTTTTAAGTCCACCTATGACCCTTTTATTTACCTCCTTCAGGTTGACAAACGATTCATTAAAAACAAAATCAGTTATGTTCTTTCTTAGCATTATTATGATTAAAGGACCACTCGTTGTACCATCCTGGTTGGTATCCATTACTTAATAATTATTGGCGGTAGGTTTCATAGCCTCAGTTTCATTAGAGAACAGGTAACAATAAAGCAGTAAGGTTATTACCATTTACAACAGATTAATATTAGCATGCTGAAAGCTGAAGAACAAGCTATTCCTAGCAATTTTCTCTGGCAAACCCAGTCCTAAGTAATCAGATATCAAAAACTGTTGTTAGGTAAAGAACTTGGCATCTCTATTGGGGGAAATTTTCCAATACTAAAAAGTTTAAAGATCTTACCTATGTATAAATTGGATCTGAATTCCACATTGTGGTCTCTCACTGCCATCTCTTGTGCTTCTAAAAGAATCTTAAACAAGGAAAAGAAAGGCATTCATATGGCTGACCCTAAACTAAAATGGAATTAAATTTCTCATTTCTTGTTGCTATCTCTGTATGACTGCTAATCACATGCCTCCATTTTATAGTCAATTTTAAAAAGAGAATATCAAATGGTACTAAGAAAATGGATACATAAGCCTGCCTCTTCAGACAATTGCAAATGGAAGGAAAACAGCCCATCCAGCTAAGCCTTAAGTGGAACATGTGCCGGGAAGGAGGAGAGAGCGGTCCTTGCAGCAGCTGCCTCAGTGATGAAGATTATTATGTCTTGGAGCCTAAGACTTACCAAAAAGTTCAAGAAGCTCAAGAACTAAGTCTTATTGAAAATACTTAAATTTCAATCCACCATAACCCTTAACAACATCAGGCAAGAGGACAAAATACTTAAAAATTTCATTTAAGAATTATTAGATTTAAACTCCATACATATTTTGAATGAAGTCAACTTCCTCCAGAGCACATTTTTAAAAACAGGACAACTGTTGTCAGGAATAACAGAAGCCAGATCCTTCACTCCTTTAAAGGTAAAAAAACATAGAACAAGGCTGGGTACACAACAGATGCTTAATAATCGCATTCTGAATTGAACTAAATATAGTCATTACAATGGAACGTCTTAGAAGTCTAAATCGATCAATCTCAACTATTCACCCACTAAACTGAAAAGATAAGATCTGACTTTAGGTGAGAGTTTTAACTGAGGTACAATATATACTGCTGATATCCTAGATGTCTTCAACCCAGCATTTTGAAACAACAGCTAGCGCAGTTACCGTCAGCACATTTATACACAGTGAATCAGCTACGTTTGGAGCTGGGTCGTTAAAGATCATTAAATCCAAAACCACCTGGTTTACAAATTTAAAAAAAAAATGGGACCAGACAGATTAAGTGCCTTGCCAATGGTCATAACAGAAATATCAGAGAAAGGACCAGACCCCAAGTTTCTGGAGTCCCAGTCTCATGCTCTTTCCACTCAACTTGTTTACAAAATCATAAACTCTCAGTTGTGGAATTGACCCCCTTGCCAAAAAAAAAGTCTTCTAAAAAATGTATCAGTCTGACCAACGTGGCTCAGTTGGTTGAGTGTAATCCCACAATGTGAGAGGTTACAGGTTTGATTCCCCATCAGGACACATGCTGGGTTGCAGGGCAGGTCCCCAGGTAGGGGTGTGCAAGAGGCAACCAATCGATATTTCTCTCTAAACAGCAATTTTTCTCTCCCTCTCTTTCTCCTTCCCTTCCCCTCTCTCTAAAAATAAATAAATAAAATGTTTTTTATATATAAATAAATAATATATCAAGCTCCAAACCATTAAAAATAAAATTTATCACTATCACTTCAAATATAAAATGTCTTATACAAATAAAAGCATTTCAGGAAAAAATGCTTAAAGCACACAACATCCCAAAGGTACAAGGACATTAATGAAAATGAGTGCCCTCAATTTGTATTATATAACCTATGCATTAACACCAGGAAACTCAGAATTTAGGCCAAGCTTAACACCTGCAAGCCAGCTATGCACCCCTTGCCCCAAATCTTAATTTACCTCTTTAATTATTTGGGCTCCTTTTTTGTCACTGAATTCCAATTGAGCCAAAGCCTGGTCAATAGACATTCCTCGAATCTAGAATTAAAGGGTGAAAGACAAGAGAAAATAAACTAGTTTACAAAGTCACCATTCTCTTTCAATGAAAAGCAAAGGCCTTATGTAATCTAAATAACTTCTAAAAATAACTAAGTAGTTATAAGTCAATTACATCTCAATGAAACCAGGGGAAAATAATTTAAATTAAAATAGTTAATTAAATGCAGGCAGAGGAAAAGTTTGAGAAGTGATGCCACCCTCTTTAAGCCATCATCAAATTTAAACATGTTCCCCATAAAACCTAGACTGTTAGTAAGTAGTTCAATGATATTAAAAAAGAGAGCAGACATGACAGAGAGCAATCACAGGTGGCAAGGAGCAGCCGGGGCACTAAAGGCAGCTCTTTCTCCTACAGGATAAATACATCCATGCATGTTTGCTGTGCTTGCCTCCTCTCATCCCTAAATTTCATTTAAAAAAAAAAAAATCTTAGTAACGGTTTTGAAACAGGTTGAATCAATTTTTACAGGTGAGTTACCTTGCCTTCTGGATTCTCTGGTTAGTGCCAGATTCCTGATGCCTTTGTTCTAAATACCTATGTATCCAATGTGAGGTAGTTTCTCACAAGAAAGGTAAAAATTAAGCAAAATTACTCATCTCTAGGCAATCACCTTTAGATTAGCTACCAATTGTCTGAACATGTAATTATACTCCTGACTTTTTAGAGAAATTGGGGCAAATTTTTTTGATTTTTCAAATCCTAGGGGAAAAGTCATAGCTTAGCTTCTCTTCCTAAGTATTACACGGTAATAGTCACTTTAGCTCACCAATTTTGCCAAATACCACATCTTGTCTTTGCTGTACTTTATTTGTCTTCGACAATGGTAGATTTCCTGACGGGGGAAAAAAAACAACAAACTTCAGTAAATTTATACCAACAGAACAGTAACATGCTGTTACTAAAGTTTTGACTTTCTATGCCCAACAAAAATGCTGCCAGAAGAAATAAAAACATTATTAAGCATTTCAGATTTCTCTTCCCTAAACAAAGTTATACATTTTCCAAAGTCTCACTATGACCAAAAAAAAAAAATTACTAAGAGAAAAATAGAAACTATAAAATGGCTAGTTTGTGTCAACATTTGCTATATTTGTATCAAGAGAAATAGTAAAAGCTTTAAGTGAAAGTATTTTTAAAAACATCTAGCTGGTGAAAAGAACAAAAGTAAAGGTACAAGAGATAAAGAGTTTCCTGTTAGTGAAGAGAACAACTGTGAAATGGAGAAAATAACTGTGTTTATAGGAAAGCCGGTATTCTAGGCATTTGGTCAAGAGCATAGGTACTAGCACCAGACTACCTGGGTTGGAACGGTCACTCTACTCTTTACTAACTACAGAGCCCAAGCTACTTAACCTCTCTCTGCCTAAATTTCTTCTTTAAAATGAAGGTAACAGTATCTACCTCATAAAACTATAAGGCTTAAATAAAATAACCTATGTTAAAAAAGCACTTCACATTGCCTAGCACACTGTAAAATCTTAATAAATGTTAGCTTTTGCTACCTTCTATTTACAGTGGTAGGTATTTCCAATTTAATTTTTCTTTAATCAACCACCCATTAAACAATGTATAGTTAGTTCACAAAGGATTATCAAGCCCATTGCTTCATTTGATACGACACATTGAGTTGGGAAAGGAAACATTTCATAATCCTTTTACAAAGTGAAAGTCAGAGAAGCCAGGTGACTTGTCCAAGACTGCAAAGCTTGTGAGAGACCAAGCTGTAACAGAAGCAACAGTGCCGTCCAGGGAAGTAGGTGAAGCTCCTGCCACATCTGGCACATATATCTTCAAGGTCCCCTTCTGACTCTAAAACCAACATTCTTTCCACTACTACACGCTATTAAATAACCTACAATAAATGAGGTAAAGTTAAGTTAGGATATAATGTGCAAAATTGTTATTCAAATGAAGTAAAAGTAGGTCTAAATTATGAAACATATAAACCAGGAACTACATACTACCACTTTTAAAAAATTAGGAAGCATTTGTCAAGGCAAGCAATAGCAAGGACACCTCAGAATTTCCTAACATTCTGACTCCTGCAGGAAATTTTCAAATGGCTTAGAAACAGCAGTTTTCTCAAGTGGCCACCTTTTAATCTGCAGCAGCTTTCATTTGAGTTGCAATAGAAGCTGACAGGCTGAAAACTGTGGCAATACCCTAATTACATTTTCAGCACTAAAGCGTCCTGGGGAGCACGGGAGAGGAAAGTAGAACTGTCATGACTGATAATATTAATCTGCAAAAATTAATACACTCAAAAAAATCTTTTATATAAAAACCTTTCAAGTCTTGGTATCCCATGGTGGGCTATCTTTAAACCCGAATTGTATATGATTATCTTCAAATTTTGTTAAAAAGATACTGTAATCCTAGCAAGAGCATGGGAGAAAAGGGAATCAAGAGTTTACGAAAAAGGACAATTATTCAATCATCCTCTTCTAAAACTAAAAAGCTCAACATTTACTTTAGGCAGGTACAATGCCTAAGGATACTTTCTGAAGAAAAACCAAAGTCTCAGTAAATAAGCCTAGCACGGCAAATAACGTGGCAAAGTTGGAGGTCGGATGGCCCGCTTAACTATCACTGATATTAACTAATCTATGTGGTAAATGAGGGAAAGTTAGGATATAATGCACAAAATAGTTATCCAATGAAGTTAGAAGTCTAAATTATGAAACATCAAGGCCAGGAACTTCTAAAGAAGTTAATTTATTTTTAAATGCGTATAATAACTCAAATGACAAAAAAAAAAAGTGTCATCTAATAAAGTCCCTGCAAGAGCTTTATGGGAATCCATATTAGTAATGTACAAGAATGGCTTTTTATATTTTAATTAATCCATGAATTAAAAGTATGGCTCTTACAGAAATAGTTACTCAAAAGTAGGGCAAAAGTAGGTTTATAGTTTGTATGGAAAATAATACAAGAAGAAATAATAATACAAGAATAAACTGTTTCACATACTCAACTATAAACCTACTTTTGCTTCACACTATAGTCTCACTACACTTTTAATTTATTTAACATAGCCTTTTTCCCAAAGATATTGCAAAAGTAAACTCAAGCCCAAATTAACAAAGTATGACTATTTACAAAGAAACTGCATTAATTTCTCTGTCTTATTTTCTTTACCATGATGAAACCACAGGTAAAATAAGTCCACACAGGAAACTATACATTTTCTCCCCCTGTCTCCCCCTGTCATGCTAAATTAGACAAGGTAGCCCTGAAACTAACAGGGGTGGACTAAAACGTACCGAAATCGGTGACATCCACTTTAACTTTCTGCCCTAGGATACACTCAATGCCCACCCACTACTATTGGTTTAACTACATATATTGATGCTGAATTTCAGAATGAGGTAGAATGGGAAACACGGTCTGGCCCTCTGTTGGGTTAGAGATAAAGCCAGCTCTAAAAATGTTTGCAGCTAACAATCTAAGGGGCGCTGCACATGCTGGCCCAGTGAGTGACCTATGTGGCTAGATGAACGAATTATTTTCTATTAATAAGGTGGATATTTATCAAGAGCATTAATATTTTAGTCATAATCGGTATTAGTGATATGTCAGTCAATTTACCAAATACTGTATGTATAAAGTCAGAAAATATTAAGATATCTTCCAAAAGTCCCCAAAAGGGTTACTCACTAATACAAAATCTGTGCAAAATAGAAAATTAAATTAGGTTTCTCAATATGCCTATATAAGATCAAGCCAAACATCTTCACATAGCCACTTATATAATAATAAGTATAAATGATACAAAAAGTTAATCAAAATAGTTTCAGGAAATACAGTACATAACAAATGACTGGACCGACATTGTTCTTCATTCGCTGATGTTAAGTAAATGACCTACTGTTAACTATTTTAATATTGACATTTGGAATGTATCCTGCAGCACATTTGTTTTAATATCCAAAAAAGACTCCTTATACAAAATATAAAATTTTGCTCTTAGGTTCTGGACCTGACAAATACTATTATGATTTCTTTACTTCCAATTAGTATCTAAGTTCAAAGAGCTCACATAAGAATAAAGCTCATTAATATAGGAAATGTTATTTATGATAAATTGTGCAAATGTATAACATTTTCTAAATTTTGGTTAATTACAAAATGGAGTCAGTACTTAATAGTACAGATCCTGTTACAAATCTAACTTTACGTTATGATGGCATGATAAAATATAAAAATTAATAATGTATTTGTTTACACTATGAACATCGCTTTCTCCTATTTCCCAATCAAGTGGGAACTCTTTAAATCAATAAATTAACTCCCTTAAATGGAAAAAGAAAAATAAAACATAAAACTGTACTAATTCAGACCAATACCTAGACAGCAATTGAATCTTAATAAAACTTATGCTATCAAGTTCATATAAAAACTAAGCAAATGAAAATACTTAGACTGATTATCCAGAAGACCTCAATCCCAAAGGCCTTCAGAAGATGTGTACTGAACTATGTGATTTATATACAATTATCACAGTAATTCTATTTCTAAAGTACTTAGCACAGTTTCTTTTCTGAAGGATTTAAATGTTCCTATCTTATGCTATTACTACTTGCTTAAACTTTTTATCAGATGTAAATATATTCCACAGCAAATTCACATTAAGCTGGAAATTAGTAACATCTCAAACAAGAGCAATCACAAGCAATTGAAGAGAGTAAAAGAATTCTGAGCAGATAAAAATAAGATAGAACTTGATTAAATTCAAACCTTAGGTTTGTGAACTATAAAACAACCAGGTGTTTCTATATTCAAATATAAAATATTGGGAAACCACATATGATTTAAATATTGGCCAATGGTTTAGGTCATTCTTGCCAACTCCTCATGCTCCATTATCAAGAAATCATTAGGAAGCCCTAACTGGTGTGGCTCTGTGGTTTAGGAGTCGTCCTGCAAACCAAAAGGTCGCTGGTTCAGTTCCAGTCAGGGATCATGCCTGGATTGCAGGCCAGGCCCCCAGTTGGGGGCATTTAAGAGGCAACCAACTGATGCTTCTCTCATGCACTGATGTTTCTCTCCCTCTTTTTCTCCCTATCTTCCCCTTTCTCTAAAAATAGATAAATAAAACCTTAAAAAAAAATTTCATTAGGAAGGCTCTTGGAACCAAAAATCAGTAAGTCTCAAACTATTAGCTTAGTTTTAGAGATAAGGCCACTATCCAGGAAGTCAAGTAAGGCAAATAAATAGATAAAACAAATACGATCTTTTTAAACTTCCAAAGAGATAAATCTAGTATATTTTCTTTATCAGTTAAAGAATCATGCCAATTGCTGTATATTTTTTTCTTTTCTTAACATAGAATAATATATCACTGCTAGCCATACAAGAGTAAGAATTCTCCATCAGAATTTAGAAATTAGCCCTGGCCAGGGTGGCTCAGTTGGTGGGGCATTGTCCTGCAAAGCAAAAGGTCACAGGTTCAATTCTCAGTCAGGGCGCTTCTGGGTTGCAGGTTCAGTCCCCAGTCGGGACATAGGCAAGGAGGCAACCAAACGATGTCTCTCTCCCTGTCTTTCTCCCTCCCTTCCCCTGTCTCTAGAATCAATAAAAGAAAAAAAATTTTTTTTTAATTTAGAAATTAGTTCTACCCCAAACTTACTGCTGGTCTCCGAGGTTCTCCAGGCAGTTGTGGAGGATAAACAATTTTATTCTTTTTCTCCCATCTTCGAGAAGTGTCAAGAGAAGCACTTGTGTGGAGGTGTGACTGGGGTAAAATACTCTGAGATGGAAGAAGCCTGTAAAACAACAGAACCTTAGAATCTTTTTGCAGAGCTTAGTATCTTCTGAACTATATCAGCTTCATTTTGATGGAAACTACTTAAGGATCAGGAATGGAAACATTCTAGATATATTCACTAACAGAGACCGCTTTTACATAAAATAGCACAAAGAGCTAGTTTATTAAAGGCTAAGAAGAGTGAAAAGTTAGGAACTTGTGTATGTCAAATAATAAATATTCACCCAAGATCTCTTGCTCTCACCAGCCAATAAATATTGACTGTATTTTAAGTCAGTCCAGTTCTAAAGCAGATTTAAAGGAGACATAATGGATCCCTGACCTGACATGTGGATATCTTCAACTTTGATGGGTAAGAAGGCAAAGAGCATCATTTTATAATCCATAAGAAATTAATGGATAAAGTTAGCATGACATGTCTCCCAATGGAAGAGCATACCATCCATGAAACAGTCTTTCCACAAATATTGACCCAGAATTGATCAAGCCTCTAGATTCAATACAGGAAATACAGAAACAGGGGAACATATCAAACCCCAGGAGAATGCACTCAGCAAAATACAAGATTTACAAAACTCTACAGGACAAAAAACCCATTTTCTTCAACAAATAAACTATCAGTGGGGGGGAAAAAGAGAGCTGAACAAAGAACCTACAGATTATGAGACTTAGGAGAAATAATTCATTTCAACGTGTGGACTATTATTTCAAAAGTATGACAGCTACTTAACCATGGGAAATCTGAACGTTAAATGGACGCCTAATTCTTCTTAATGAAACATGCAGTGAAGTATTTATGGATGAAGTAATACAGGGGCTGGGATTTGTTTCAAGATATGATGGGGGAGAGTAGGGACTATAGATAAAACAAGAGCGTGTGTTAGGAATTGCTGAAGATGAGTGATGGGTTCACGGGGGTTCATCATGCTGTCTGTTTTTGTATATGTCTGGATATACCCACATAATGCAACAAACTTCAGTGTTTCTCTACCACCTATAACATAGAATCCAGACTGCTTAGCAAGCCACAGAAGGCCTTTCACAGTCTAACCCCAACCAGACCTTTCTGCTTATTCGTTTTATGGCCAGACACAGACATTCTTTGTTCCCTGAATAAGTCAGGTACTTTCATACCTTTACACATTTGCTAACACTGTTTTCTCCTCCCTCATTATCTCCTGAATGTCACCTCAGTGTGAAACATCTCCTAGTCCCTCTCCCAGACAACCATTCCCTCAACTGTCTCAGTACTTTGTTCTTGCCAGCCATACAGCACTGAGCGGAGCTACTGTACTGTAATAAATTGGCTGCAGTACAGTCAGCGCTACACTAAGGGTACATATTTGAGCATCTTATGCTATTCCATGTTCCAGCACCAACAACAACATCTGGCATATGGATAATGAGTAAATATTTAACCCAGGCTTCCATATTCAAAGTTGTCATCATATACTGGCAGGTTCTCACACAATAGATGCATAGATGCAATTGGATGATATATGTGGCAGCGCCTTTGTTTTTAGCCCTCAAACCATTGAGACTAAAGAATTTTTAAAATCGAATATTCTCCTAGTGGCTCCTTTCTCCTATTCTACCTCAAATAACCGTTTTACATCATAACATTAAGATCAGTGCCATCTAAGTACCTGACAGAATCTGTACCTCTGCCATCCGCATTTAAGTACGTATGTTTTAAATGGAAAACACAAACCTAGAACACATGATGTTAGAGGACAGGATTTCCGAGTGAAACTGTAAGCCAGGTGATGAGGGCAGTGACTACGGAGCCAGGCAGACCTGGGTCTAAATTCTAACTCTAATTTATTAACTGAATGACCTTGGGGAGGTCACATGACTTTCTAGGTCTCAGTTCCCTCAACAGTAAAAGGAGCAATAACAGTAATCATTCTATAGCCTTCTTCAGAAGCTCAAATGCGATACTGGAAGTTAAATATTTAACCTGACACTTAATAGGGCTCAATACATTTTACATATTATATTTAGAATGAGGAAAATAAAACCTACTTCACTCTGTTGTGGGTACATGAATAATTAATGTGCCATATCCTATAATGTCTAGGAGATGATAAACACTGACGACTAGTATTAATTTTATTTATTTTTTTAAAATGTTTACTGATTTTAGAGAGAGTGGAAGGTGGGGAGGGGGACAAAGAAAGAGAGAGAGAGAAACATCAACATGAGACAGGGACCTCAATGATTGGTTGCCTCCAATACACTCCCCAGGTGGGGACCAAACCTGCAACCTAGGAATATGCCCTGACCGGAACCTAACCCCCAGCCTTTCGGTGCATGGGATGATGCTCCAAGCAATTCAACCACATGGGCCAGGGCACTAGTACTGATTTTAAATTAGGCCCTCTGAACAGTTAATCTCTCCTGTTCTTAAAAAAAAAAAAAAAAAAAAAAATTCCTGTACACTTTACATTACACAATTTCAAATCTTCTCATGTTTATAGTCATGATCATTTATGTTTTTACAAAGCTGTAATTAACTTTGGATACACTAGGTCTGTTACCTCTTTGGGACTCAGTTTCTTTATCTACGGAAAGAGGAATTGGACTACATCATCTCTAGGGCCTCTCCAAACCTAATTCTGTCACCAATCCAAATATACATAAGACACACCATAATCCCCCATATCTAGCGCAGGTCTTGCACTCAATCCTCAATACATTCAATGAATTGATTATGATGCTTGATAAATTAAACACATTTTGAATGAATAATGGCAGAGCTCAGGAATACCCTCAACACTTTCAGGGCTCCAATCGTTCATAAAATGAATTACCAAGTAAACACAAAACCACCATAATCAAATTAAATTATTATTCCAAACTGGTTACTTAATTCAGAGGATTGACTGTGAGAAAGAGGGGTGGGGTGGGTGGAGGGGAGCAAAAGGGAAAAAAACTGGGACAACTGTAATAGAATACGCAATTTTTTTTTTAAAGCATATTAAATACAAAGTTCTTATGTGCCCTCTCCTGGTCAGCTCTTAGAATAACACTAAATTTAAAAATATAAAATGAAGCAATCATAAGGTAAAATTGAAAACCAAACTAATTCCAAACTTGAGGCTTTTATGACACCTTTTTATGTGAGAAGGCTTATGAAGGGGTCCCTTGAGAAAACAAACTCAAGAAAAGGAAGTTGGTGGGATTAAAAAAATGATGGCATGGGTTATTGCTATTGTTTTCCAACAAATATTAAATTTTAAGGCTGCCTAGAGCTCTAGTTTGCTGTTAGTATTCTAAAGAATCAAAATAAGTTAAATCTTTTTTTAAAAAAAGAAGCACTGAAAGAAATCTAGGATCAATTTTTACCATTTGGAAATTCAAGTGTCATCTCTAACAACAGCCTTTCATTTACTAGGAATCTCAAATCCCGTTAACTTCACTATATCTCAGTAAAGTGGGTGAAGGTAAAGAGCTGTGAACCGACTTTCCAGAGTACTTGTACCTGGGACAGACGCACAGGTGGCCCACAGTAAGGCGGGACCGCCAGAGCGCACGCAGAGAGCAGGCGGCAGACGGAAACTAGCATGTGAAGCATTTCCTCACTCTCATTATTCCGGTGTCTCCTATCTTCCAATGCCTGAGGACTAAGTGTAAGGGTCACTCATGGCATTCTACTCCTAGTCTGTAGGCATGGATAGGGAGTAGATATAAGCCAAACTTTAGAATTAAGAGTTAATTCAGATAAGATACTCTGAAACTTTATACAAAGTCACAATTGAAAGAAAGAACTAATACTTCCTATCTATTCCTCAAAGTTCATTTTCAAATTCAGAACAAAGTATATCCAAGTTCCACGGGAAGATAATACTGGCCTCAGGCTCAGTCTTGAGAATATCATGCTATTATACTCATCAGCGTAAAAAAACTCTTTGTTCCAAATTTACTTCTGATAACATTAAGTTAATCCTACACTTGAGACTGAATAAAAGAAGAGCCTCTCTCTTGCCTCATTTAAAATCAAAACCAAAGGGCTGACATGATACGTATATTCTCATAACTCAATATAATCTTACTTTGTGAAAGTCAAGGACAATCAAACAAGGAAACAGTTTTGCAAACAAAAGCGCAACTCCAGCAATGCTGGACAACGATATGCTCAGTGTCTCAACCCCTCCCCCACTGGCTCTCTGGGCCAGACCAGTCTTTGCAGGATGTTTCGCAGCGCCCCTCACCTCTACCAGTTAGATGCCAGGATCAAAGCCTGCCTCAGCTGTAAAAAACAAAAATGTCTCCAGACACTGCCACATGTCCCCTGGGTGGCAAAACTGCCACCAGTTATTAGATAAAGTGACAGTAACAACAACAACAAAAAGAAACAAACAAAAAACAGCACTAGTTTTTGCAGAGCAGAAAGCATGAGGCCTCTTGTTCCAAAAGGTTCCCATTAGTGTGTCACACACATGTGGGTAGTCAATCAGCCGGATTTTCTTACTACGTAAGCCAAGGTTAACTAAATGGCTAAACTTTACACTTTCATTCATAAACCCCAAGTGGACCCTTAAGCCTGCCTGGCATTCCTATTATATTTCTCAGGTCCATTTCCTCTTCTTGCCCCACAAACAAATCTCATACCTCTTCTTCCTAGTCGAACCTCCCTTATCTCCTCCCTCACCCTCAGTCTCAACTGAGAACCATGGTTATTTAGCTAAGAAAATCAAACAAGCTACAGCCACCTAATCCATATACCTACCTGCATCCAGGTCCGTCCTTCCTTACAACCTTCCCTCATTATTACGCATGAACTGTCTATGCCCCAGATAGGACCACTCTCATCCCTTCTCTCTAGATCCCATTCCCACCCACCTACTCAAGGATATTGCTCTGGTAGTTCTCTGTTCCCTCTCACCATCAGCAATGTTTTCCTCTTTATTGGATCACGCCCACCAGCCAACAAATGTACTCCAACATCTCCCAACTTAAAACCAGCCCTCCCCTCACCAAGTCCTCTAGCTACTG